CAGTGATCAGGACCAGGGCCCAGTGATCAGGAACAGGCTCAGTGATCAGGAACAGGACCCAGTGATCAGAAGCAGGGCTCAGTGATCAGGACCAGGACCCAGTGATCAGGACGAGGACCCAGTGATCAGGACCAGGGCCCAGTGATCAGGACCAGGGCCCAGTGATCAGGAACAGGACCCAGTGATCAGGACCAGGGCCCAGTGATCAGGATTAGGACCCAGTGATCAGGACCAGGGCGCAGTGGTCAGGACCAGGGCCCAGTGATCAGCTCCAGGGCTTAGTGCTCAGGCACAGGGCCCAGTCATTGGGCCCAGGGCTCAGTGATTAGGAGAAGGGCTCAGTGATCAGGAACAGGGGTTAGTGATCAGGACCAGGGTGGAGTGATTAGGTGCAGGCCTCGGTGATCAAGACCAGGGCCTAGTGATCAGGAACAGGGCCCAGTGATCAGGACCAGGGCCCAGTGGAGTGATTATGTACAGGGCCCAGTGAGGACCAGGGTTGAATGATGAGGACCGGGGATGAGTGATGAGGTCCAGGGCTGAGTGATGAGGACCAGGGCTGAGTGATCAGGATCAGGGCTGAGTGATGAGGACCAGGGCCGAGTGATCAGAATCAGGGCTGAGTGATGAGGTCCAGGGCTGAGTGATGAGGACCAGGGCTGAATGATCAGGACCAGGGCTGAGTGATGAGGACCAGGGCTGAATCATCAGAACCAGGGCTGAGTGATGAGGATCAGGGCTGAGTGATCAGGACCAGGGCTGAGTGATCAGGACCAGGGCTGAGTGATGAGGACCAGGGCTGAATGATCAGAACCAGGGCTGAGTGATGAAGATCAAGGCTGAGTGATCAGAACCAGGGCTGATTGATGAAGATCAAGGCTGAGTAATGAGGACCAGGGCTGAGTGATGAGGACCAGGGCTGAATGATGAGAACCAGGGCTGAGTGATGAGGACCAGGGCTGAGTGATGAGGATCAGGGCTGAGTGATGAGGACCAGGGCTGAGTGATGAGGACCAGGGCTGAGTGATGAGGATCAGGGCAGAGTGATCAGAACCAGGGCTGAGTGATGAGGACCAGGGCTGAGTGATGAGGACCAGGGCTGAATGATCAG